GCCTTTTTAAAAATACATTTGCTTGGTTTGAATTCTATGAAAGTGGGTTGTGACTTAATGGGAAAATGTGGGTTCCTTCTCAGGATTGGATGGACACGATATTTTCTACACCAAAGTCATTTCTATTGATTATGGTAACCCATATGACAACAATACACCTGAACTATCCCTTACTGTAAGGTATATTCTGATACTGAGGCCCAATCTAATTATAATAAGAATACTAGTTTAAGCTCACACCAGTCTGGTAGCACTCCAGCTATCCTGCAAGGGCTTTGTTAGTCGCTGACGGTCACTCTGTGTCTGTGCAGCACAGCCAGTTGAAAACTGATCCCTGGCTGTCAGCAGGTGTATTCTCCGTATTATCCAGACAGGATCAAGTTCGTTTGCCACCAGTTAGATGTGGTCATGGCCCAATGAAGCGCTTTGACAAACTGCTTGTGACGTTCGCTGCGTGGACAGCTGATTCTGACCCGGACATGTAGAGACAATTTAATGGCAATTAAAGCTGCAGTCGGTCATTTTTATACAATTATTGTTTTGTTATGTTTGCTCAAACTTTTACAATATGCTGACAGTAGCACATGAGACAGACAATCTGTTAAAAGATCCGGTTCCTCTGTCTCGTTGTAGAAGTCCTAATGGTATTTGCTCTATAACACAGATTGGAAATAACTTAACGTTAACCATCCAGATAGAAAGGACTCAAAAGTTTAGATGTGTAAGATGAGCACTGTGGTCTGTTTGAGATCCTGAAGTAGACATTCTCAAAGAACCATCATCTAACCAGAGTAAGAGAAACAGCATGTTGTGTTATTTAGCTGTGGGCACGAGACAACACCCCAAAGGACAAGCTGACTCACTACTCACTTGTTTCTGAGGGAACTCCACATGTTGGTGGAGGAATTCCACCTCCAGAAGTCTCTCTGCTCCCGCAAGCCTTTCAGGCCCCCGAACAGGTACATGCAGCTCTGGTAGGCGATGGCTGAGTGACTGTGTCTGGGGCCTGGGCCTAATGAGCCCTGCTGAGAATCATTCAGCAGGGACCAAGCCATGGTATCTGTCATGGAACACAATGAATACACATACTGGAGCTGTGGGGTGTTCTCCACAGAAATGGCTGATAAAATGCATAATACAGCGTAAAGAAGAAGAATATATATAATAGCACAGAACATGGGAATAAAAGTAACTCACCAAAATCCAAACTCCAAAAGTCCTGCGAGGATCCTTTCATGTCTATGAAGCCTCCGTACAGCAGCATGGCAGAGCCAACCACCACAGCACTGTGGCCCTTTCTGTTGGTGGGCATTTGGGTCTACACACACACACACACAC